GCCATAGAAAGAGAAAACGTAATAATAATGATTCCTGAGGATAAAATTATAACAAACCCGGCAGTACGTGAAGTAATAAAAAACATAGATTTAAACAAAATCCAGTTTTCGGATACAAACAAGTTTTACACTATCGACAGTGAACCGAATTTACTCGTATTTTATGGTCTAAAGCCAACTCATACAACACCACTTAACGCCGAGGTCATTTACTTAGCTATAAACGATATAAAAACATTTTGCATGTCGAATAAAATAAATGCATTCTCTACCAATAAATTAGACGGACCTACCTCACTAACCGGTTATCCGCGTATTCGCACGATGTTTCGACACATTTTCAAAGCAACCGACATCGTAGTAAAAATATATGTAGGCCAGCAATTAACGTCAGAAGAAAAACAACAAATCATTTATGAACACCACAATTCACCTTTGGGTGGACATTCCGGAGTATCACGTACCGTAAAAAGATTAAAACTTAATTATAACTGGCGTCACATGAAAAAAGACGTAAAATATTATATTAAACATTGCGAATTATGTCAGAAAAATAAATCGCACGTAAAAACGAAGCAACCAATGTTAATTACTAGCACGGTAGTTAAACCATTCGAAAGGGTTTGCCTGGATATAGTAGGACCCTTACCAAAAACACTGACAGGAAACATGTATATTTTAACTCTACAAGACGAACTAAGTCGTTTCTCGCTAGCAATAGCGTTATCCGCCACAGACGCACAAACGGTAGCTCAGGCGTTCGTAGAATGTTTCGTTTGTATATACGGTATACCAGAGTCAATTTTGACTGACTGTGGAACTAATTTTTTATCCGATGTATTCAAAAGCATGTGCAAACTGTTGGATATAAAAAAATCTAAAACTACACCGTGGCATCCACAAAGCAACGCTTTTCTAGAACGTTCTCATAAAACATTAAAAACTTATTTACGTAGCTTCGTAGACAAAGACAGTAATTGGGATAGATTATTGTGTTACGCTACTTTTTGTTGTAATACAACAGTACACACTTCTACTGATTTTACGCCTTACGAACTAGTATTCGGAAGGAAACCAAATATTCCATCAGCTTTCAATAGAAATCCCGAACCACAATATAATTACGACGATTATGTATTCGATCTTAAACGAATTATGCAAGAGGCACATAAAATCGCTCGAGATAACTTAATAAAGAAAAAAGAGGCAAACACAAATTATTACGATAGGACCCTAAATGTCATTGATTTACATGTAGGTGACAAAGTTCTTACCAAGGAGCACAACAAGAAAAATGCACTTAGCTTAAATTGGCAAGGACCTTTTGAGGTACTCTTAGTACATGACAATGAAAATATTACAATTAAAAAAGGAAATCGCGAGTATCGTATACATAAAAATAACGTAAAACGTTATTACGACGACGACGATACCGAATAAATTATTACAAATTCATTTTTCTTATCTACTTATTATAATTTTTCTTTTCTACCAAATTCTTTTATTATTATTTTAGGGACAAACGAAGAAACTTTATGACCACGTTCCGTACAACGTTAATAGTACAACAGCACTGCCACACGGCTTTATATCCCGACGAAATTCCGCGCTGTATGCTTAACCATATAGACACGGCGAATAAAAATTTACTTCAACCGTATACGCCAGTGGAGCTGTTGGAACTCACTCGTACAATTAATCACTTCTCGCACGACTTAACAAAAACATTAAGACCTCTACGCAAACCACTTTGTTCATATCTAAGGGAATTTTTGGAAACAACTGAACACCCAGTAGATATACTTGATTATATGCGACTTTAAATTTAAATTTAAAAAAAAAAAAAATAGCAATTATGCAATTTTTTCTATTTGGGATTTGGGAATAAGATTATTCATATTATTATTTTAATTTGCACTTATATATATAGAAATAGGTTAATTTTAAATCTAATACATTTAACATAAAATTACCTTGACTAATAAGCTGAAACGGTTTTCAGACTTATACTACTAACTATACCATTCACGTCGGGACGATTTCGATACACCGACGAACAATTAACACAACATTCCGGTCTATACTACGAAAATCGGGGACCATTGAAACTTATCACATCTCAATGGGACTTAACCGCGTATATTAATTTTGCTAAATACAAAGAAAGATTTATTTATATTGACAATGTTATGAACAAAACTGAATTAATATGCGAAAGTATCAAAAATAATGTTGATACCAATTGTAACAATTTAATGCAAACAGCTAGTAGCATAGTAAACGATTTACGTAAAAAGAAGGAACTAGTATTAGACTCTATAGAACATACAGGATCTAAAAGAAGTACATTGGGCATGTTAACAAAAGCAGCCAGGTTAATATACGGAATATGTAATCTGGAATGCATTAGAAAATTTAATTTTAATATAGAACAAACGCATAACGCACCGCAAACTAAATTAGTTAAAGAACAAATAAAAATAGTTAAGTTACAAAACAAATTTGATGAACACGAAAACTACAATATGACCTTTTTAATAAACGAAAATAGTAACGTATCTAGGGACCAACAAACAAAAAATTATGTAACAAAACACTTTCTAATTATAAATTTATTATTAATGAAGCATCTAGTAGAAACCAATACTTTATTAGAAATAATACATCAAGCGAAATTAGGGATTATCCATACCAGCTTAATATCACCACGGGACCTTCTAGAGCACATAAAAGACATTAAAGTATCGTTACCTGGGGGCACCGACTTACCCACCGATCTAGATATACAAAATATCTATGAATTGGTAAAGCTCTCAGACCTAGCTATATATTATGTTAATGACAACCTAGTTTTTATATTAACGTTACCATTAATCTATCAAAATGATTTTATTCTATATAACTTAATACCTGTACCAGTTTGTACTGGGAATGATTGTCTCTATGTTAAACCTAGTAATAAATATCTAGCTATAAGTAAAACTAAAGAACACTATGCCATGTATGATGAATTTTACTATACACATTGTAAGCACGCTAGAGACTTCCTTTTATGTCCTGAAGGTAATCCTTTATACCCGCGTACAAGTAGACCAGCATGCGAAGTTCAACTTTTGCAAGATCCAATAAAAGTTCCATCAACCTGTGAAGTAATGCACGTCCAAATCGGAACATCCATATTCCACAAGAAACGATTCAAGAACGAGTGGATATACGTAACTAATTATGATGTAGTATTTATTACATGCGACGAAGACAAGGAATCCACAAGTCACACACTAAGGGGAGTAGGCATTTTGCGACTCAACGAAACTTGCAAAGGATACGCCGCAAGAGACGTACTTATACCAGGAAAAGTAGACTACAAATCTGAATATATGGATTTCAACCCGAAGTCAACTATAGAACGTATCAAAGATATGCCGTACACCGACAACAATAATTTGATGGAAGACTACCACGTAAAAACAAATAACATGGATGACCTACATACCGTGTCAGGTTCAAAGAAACAACTTGAAACACAACGCAAGGTTGATCACAAGATAAACGAACTAAAGAATACACAGCAAGTAAACGACTACGTACTTTACGTAATCACAAGTATCACTTTTATGGCAATTATCATTATATGTTTATCCGAGTACAATAAATTTAAATGTTACGAAAAAATAAACACGGAAGAGGAACCAAACCAAGATGAAGAAAGTGAAAGCTTAGCTACAGCACCTAGAGCAGTCGACATGGTCGAATATCCTCTTACGCCTAGGAATAGCCCAATAAGCTATCCAAATACAAGACAGTTTAACTTCAATTAAAACTTTTTCGGAAGTCAGGGACTTCCAGCTTCGAGGGGAGGAGTGTAGTAAACCGACAGAGTCGCTTTCCTATAATTATACATCATAAGGACTTTGCACTATATGATATATTGATCAACGACTATACCACGCCCTGAGGATTTATTACATATTTAAAAATCGCATAACGATTTCTAATAATACATATTGCCAAATAAACCAGTTCCCAACTCAAGGTTTATTCGACAACTTTTAACATTTACGCCGGTACCTTGCATACCGCCGGTATTCCTTTGATCCACCTCCGAGTCTCTACCGTGTACCTAATAACCTAGGGAGACTTTGTATATATACGAGTCTCCGTCTGTATCTAAATTAGAATTAGCTCAGTGCTAGTACGACGTGCATACTTGTAAGTACTTAGTATTAACCACTAATCTCTCGGGCAGACGCTTATCGCTCTGTCCTCAAATTTCTATATTCAAATGTAATACCATTATATTATTATTAACTTTAAAATAAATTACTTAAATTATAACGTTGTAACTTGTAACTCTGCAACCTTTTCTCCTACTCAATCATCAACGTCGACAAACTCAAAATATAAGCGTTAGTGAGGGATCACTACAACGCGAATAAGGTCCGAACGGGACCGCCCGAGGCCCCCGGGCGGGGTAAAACTCGAATAATTTGAAAAAAAATCGTGGATTTCGAGAAAAATCGTGAAAAGCGATAAGGAGGAGTGATAACGCAGCGACGGCTCCGCCGCCGCCGGGAGACCGCCCTCCGGGGAAATTTAATTTTCTCATTGGCTCTCTCTTACGATGGTTCGGATTTAACGCATAGGGGGCGCCCTCGGTTTCTTGCCTTATAGTATAGAGACTAGCTCTCCGAGCGTCGCACAGTGGGGCAAGATTATGAAAATATGTAGAAAACTCCCAGAAGTTTAAATAAATGTTATGGAGTTAAAATATTAGTATTTTATTAAATGTTTCATAATTATAAAGATTATTATACAATATTAAAAGTAAATTTATTATTCAGTGGAAAAATATAAAATATGTGTAAATTAACAAACAATAGGGAATTAAGTTATCTATACATTTTAACATTTCAATCATCATTATCTTCTGTATCATCTACATTTTCATATAGTCTGTTCATTTTAAGAAGCGATTCAGCGGCCACTAGTAAAACCGGTTTTCAAGCGTAAATCAGGTCGCTTCTTATTTTGAACAGGGTATAGTCTTCATCAACATTGTCATCACTATCATCGTCATGGTCATCATCAAGATCATCATCGTCTTCACTGTCATATTCGTGGTCATTGTTAATATCGTGGTTTGATGGTGGTAATAATAAGTCTACAGCTTCTTTGGGAAGTGAAGACAATTTTTTTTGTGGAAGCTTTCTTTTACTATTTATTACGGGATCTGATGACAACAAAAAAAAATTAAAAATGTCAGTATTTGATTTTGTTCTACTGCATTTCCGAGAATGGTGTTCTCTAAACTTTTTAAAATCTTTGTTTCTTGCCTCTTGGGCCTCTTCTGTCAATTGCCCTATAGGCAATAATGCATGAGATATTATTTCGGGTCCATGTATTAAATATTTATGCAACGTGGGTGGCATGTTGTACCATGGGTACTTTTCCACAAAATAATAAGCTGTTTCTAGCGCATATTTTCGGAATTTTTCAATATCAATCTCATGTCCACATGATACAACTATCAGTATGGTATGCATTTTTTTGATCAAATCTAAATCTAGATTTGTAATTTCTGCCGATACCTCTGCATTTTTGAAAAAACGCCTGGCGGTATTTCCATCGTTGGTATTGCCGAAGCCAGGTTTTGGTTTATCAACAATTAAACCTAGTTTTGTTTTAAATTCTATTTGAATTTTTTTTTTAGTTTCTGCGACAATCTCTTTGTCCGAACCACGAGCTTGCCATTTCTTAAATGGTAGCTTGTACGCTAAATGAAGCAGACACTCAAAAAAGCGAATCCATCCATGTAAGATTGAAATACCAAATTCCAAATTTTCCATCTTAATTGGTCTTATAATCATTTCATCAATCAAATTGAAATCTTTTCAAGTTGCATTACAAATGTAGCATTTTTGGGTACTAGTAGAGCCTGTAACTGCGTTGCAGACTGTGCCATCTATCATTGTAAATGTAAGGTTATGCTTTATAACGAGAGTATTTTCATCTAAAAGTATACTACTCTTTTCTAAATTTAATATTTGCTCATCCATCCTTTTTTTTTCGTCAATGGAAACTCTGGTATTTTCCTTCATAAATGCAATTTTTAAAGGTCTACAATACCTCGTTGAACCGGGTCTAGGATTTTGCCAAACAACTTTTGAACCTGATTGCAAGCGAAGTGGTACGATACATGTGATAAAAACCGCTGAATCATCAGCTTCAATACCATAAAAAGCTTGTTTATAAGAGCTGTGACCACTACTGCCATCAAAACCCCATTTAGAAATTAAACACAATTTTTTTAATTCATTAGAACTAAGAGTGTGGATTACATCCTTGAGAGTGATAATCAAACGATCTATAGTAAGGTCAAGAATGGTTTGCAAATCGACATGCACCGATGTTTCTGTAATATAAATTTTATTAGGCTGAGGATAACATTGTTTTTTTGCTTCCTGTACGATTTTATAAGATGGATATATTTTTGGAGCTTTTGATCGTATAATGTTATATTGATGTCGTGATAATTGCGCATCTACTATGAGTGCAACAGCGTCATCTCCTGACATAGATTTGGTTTCAATTGACTGCTTATAGGAATTTATATACTTTTGAGCACTTGATGGATCAGATACAATTTCTCCAACTAATTTAGAGGTGTCTGTCTGTCCTGAAGCTCTCAGTTTCATTTGTGTGGCAAAAACTAACTGTGGTAAAGAGGTAGATTTTCTCAAGTTTTTAGTTTTTTGTCGTTTCATCCTTTCTGTGCTTTCCTCAAATGATATTTTTGGTCTACCTCCAAGTTGTTCTGTAACAGAAGGTAAACAAACTTTTGACTTCAACCAATTTGTATTATCCTTAATAAATCTTTCTTCCATTCTGTGGGCTTTTTCCCATCTTGTTTTGTATTCAGATTGAAAACGACTTATCATTCTCGAAATCTGAAGTTTTTGAGAGTCGGTACCATATCCTGTCCGTTTTTCAATTTCTTTTTGCAGGGTTTGTATTTGGTATTGTAATTTTTGGTGTCCTGAGTTTTTCATTATTTCAAGAAATTTTTCTCTTGACATATTGAAGTTATTAGAACTTGAACCTACATACCAAGAAATATTTCATAACAATAAATTATAAAGTATAAAATATAAAATATAGTTCAATACCGTAAATTTATTGCATAAAAAAATAAATTAACGAGTAATTAGTTATTAATTTAATATAATGCCCAAAAACTATGAAAGTATCATTATGAAAACAAAATGAAAAATAATTTACATATAAAAATAAAATATTTAAAATATTGGGTTCAAAGAAAAAAGTGCAAAAAATATTTTCCCCCAGACGGGATTCGATCTCTGGCCCCACACCACACGAGCTCTCCGGACTAATCGATCGCACTCAGAACCTTGAAGAACTAGAGGTGAATTAACTATTATAACATAAAATATTCAAAGTTATTTAAAAACTTCTTTTTACCACGAAATTATAGAAAACTTTAAATATATCACTCTTATACCAAATAAATTATTTAATTTATCATTGAAAACTAAAACCAATGGCACGATTTAAAAAGTTTAGGGCAAAAACGGGCAAAATTTGAAAAATTCATCGTTAACCACAATACCTACTGATTCTAATCATGTATAAATGATAGCCGGATCAATCACGGAACATAATTAAACATCCAACTTTTCATTGAAATTTTAAAATATTCTTATTCTTTTTATGTGTAAACATAAAAATTTTTTAAAACCATCAAATCTTGTAAACCTGTTAAAATAAATCAATTTAAAAATAAGAAACATACCTGAGCCACATGGTTCCATGATTAATTTGGAAGAATTAAAATCATAAAACAATAAAATACATAAACAAGAAAGAAATGATTATTTTGAATAAATCACGCGTTTACTCGGCTAGTAATGACCATTACTTATTATTGCTTGGTGTGGAGTGGGATCAATTAATCTAATCTAATGACTTGTTATGAAATACTACAGGTACATAGGTACGTTAATAGGCAATTATAAATTACCACTGCATATTTTTTTTTTTTAGTTAATGTAGATAAATTGTTGTTTTTGCCCCACTGTGCGTCGCTGAGGGACACCCCCAGACCACCGAGAGTTGGTCATTAGTGTCGGAAGCTGCGGTGGTCTCGACGTGGTGCGGACTTGCGGTCTCGATAGATAAGGATGTGTGATAAGGCTAGGACCACTGCGGTTCGACGTGGTAGCCCGTGGTAGCCAGGGCAGAGTCTTTGACAGAGTCTTTTCGACGACGCCGCCGGAAATTCGAAATTTGATAAAAAAATAATATAGTAATTTTTGTGGGTGTCTAGCAGTTCGGTCACCTAGAGTGACGTTCACCGTAGTAATACTGGTGGGCTATCCGACTTCGTGCGACGGCCGAGTTTTATAGCCGCCTTTTTGTGGGGGGTCAGTCGCCTTCCTCGACGTCACTGCACATAGGACGTGAATCATAACTCAGAACCTACACACGATTACGAAAATCTAATATAGTAAAATGTAATATAAAAAATAATGTAGTCGTCGTATTTTTGTGGGTTTCTAGCAGTTCGAAAACCTAGAATGACGTTCGCCGTAGTAATAGTGTTTGGGGTCTAGCGGATCGGTCACGTTCCTCGACTTTGGTCGTAGTCATCCTGGAAGGCAATCCGACAATATTCGACGGCTGGGGCACGTCATCACGTATGCAATCCGAACTCTGGCGCAAAATCAAGTAATAGGTCACGTGCAAAAAAAATGGTATTAGTCTTGGTGTCTAGCAGGTCAGTCACCTTCCTCGACGTTGGACGTAGTAACCCTGGTAGGCAATCTTACTCCGTCGGATAGTGCGACGTCCGGGTCAAGGCATAAAAACGCCAAATTACGTAAATCAAAAATATATGAATAATAACATTTCGGGCGCCCGTGCTAGTCGTAAATTGTAATTTATTCGCCGTGATTTGTCGAGTGTCTAGCAAGTCGGGCGGCCACGTGTAATAGTTTTTGTCGTTTATAGTAGTAGAGCGATTTAGAATCGAAACTCGGTCAGATGATTGGGATTTCGTTTCCCCATGGTCTTCCGAATAACACGGAAACGTTTCCCCGCACCGACATGATGTCAGACCCAATGTCTCTTGTATCACATAATAGGCGGGAAGTTATCCGCTGATACCGCCGAGTGGATAGACGATAAACGGTCGGTGATAAGGCCTACAGGTTAGGTTAGGTTCTGTCGAAGGCGGGAATGTTTGAAAACCATTTTTGCGTGTGTATCAATAAAATCGAGTGATGGTCCTAAGGCATTATTATGAACATATGAAAAAATTTTGCAAAAATGAAATAAGAACGATGGCCAAAAGTGTAAGGTTTAATGCCGTGTTCGAATGAATGAATAATATAAAACTATAAGATAATTAATTTGTCAATACAATAAATTAATTAATCGGCCGTGCGATATCGTTACCCGCATGGGTTACCTGCCTTGACTCTTGTGATTGTCGCCGTTCTAAAACCAAGCACTGCGCCGACGTCCGACTTTAAAATCATTTCATTCCAACTTTCTCAACCAGAAATACGTGAGTATACATTGTATTATAAATTTAATTGGTGGCTTTTTAAAAACCTTTTTTACACCGCAGATCGTAGGTAATTAATCAATTAATATAATGAAACACATGCTTTCCGATTAACGAATTTAATATTTTATTTTATTTTTAATTTAATATTTAATAATACCGACAGATCACTTAAAGTTTCGTTTTCCTATAAACTTTCTTTATTGCTTTTTATTCATCAACTTTAGAATGATTAACAATGCATAGAACATTAGAGGCAGTTGGCGCAAGTGTACATCAGGGGCTTGTTTTTTTAACACGTTTAACGCGGATCGTATAATAATAGGCTAGTATTGTGCGCAACACGTGATTTTTATCAAAGGAATTTATTGATTTGTTTTACCATCCATTTTTTTTATTTATTTTCATTTATTAACTTTAAAATAAGTACAATAACATTAGCTTGTTTTCGACACATCCAACGCGGATCGTATTTATGAATGAATATTTAAACTTAGAGGGCTTACTTTTTTGTAAGCACCTGCCCACGCTTATTCCGGCAAAGTACCTAGTTAGACGCTTATACTATGTGTACGCACAGGTCTGAGAGAAAAAAACCAATAATATATCGAGCTGACATCCGCTGAATGTTTCGTCTTTTCTATTACAAACTCAAACTGCTAATGTAATAAGTATTACTGCACAAGTGGAAGGGTTGAAGTCGGCGTTGACCTAACGTATTGGTTATTGAGTATATAAATTTAAAAAAAAAGGCTAAAATGTATAATGTAGTAAAGCTATATGATGGGATGTAATTTAACTCTTCGTTGGTAGCAGTTAGACCCGAAAAGGAAGTATTTCAATCCTAGTGTATAGTAAATATTGTAAGTGTTCAATATTTATTAACTAACCCGCTGGTATGAATTGGGTCCTCCGTTGTTGGTCGATTGGATTGGTGTCGTAGATGACCAGATTGATGTGTCTGGGAGGAAAACCACCTTCACCTACGAACACGGCAGGTTGTTTCGGCCCCTATCCCGGGCCGCATCTTCGACGAAATGCATCCTGACTGGTCTGGGTGGCACAGCTGCGGGATCGGCTAGGGCTCTTTCCGCCAGCCACACCTGACGCATGTTCCTGAAACAAATATAGACATTTATATATTTATGTTTATCAAACTCCATGATGTGTACAAATAATTGTGAATTGTAATTACAAAGGATATGGTAATTGGTGTATTTGGAGTTAAGGATTTGTAAACTAAAATATAATGTAGGTATGTAACCTAATAGTATATTAATAGTATATTCAGTGCATTTATCTCTATATTATTAGAAATAATTGTATCTGTAATAATAGTAAAGTAAAATTTAAAACCATTAACCTGTTTATTGGTAGCAGTGAGAGTATAATCTATACTAAATAAATTTATTTTAAATATTTGTGTGCCTTATGGGTAGGTGTAAAAGCGTAGAGAATCATATTCAATAGGTAAAAATAAGTATAAAATTATTATTGAATGTATCCCAAGATAGTTTTACTTCAAAGTTACACGAATATCATAAGTCATAAACATCCGAACCCTATGTCATATTTAATGTTATATAATTGAGTATTGACTCTAAGGTTTAGGAATTGCATGTATTATACCTTAGGTATCTTAAATAACAAATAAGTATTAACCAATAGAAAATAGGTTTTTGTAAATGTATTATATAACCAAAATTTTAATGTAGGTAATATAATGGTATGTAAATATCATTCAGTGCATTTAACTTGGTAGGAATAAGCTATAAGCTATAAGAAACAGCTATTGAAACATTTTCTATTGTATTCAACCCGTTTTTGAAGTTTACTATTTCGTTTAACTATCTTTTAAATATTTTCTATTTTATAATTATGAACACATTCTCTTTATAATAATTATTATAATATCAACTCAGCTTTTCTGATTTTACAGGAAACTTGTCTGTCATTATTCATCTATTATCTATAACTTAAACTTTTCGTTGCTAAATGAATATATTATTATTATTATGTTTATTAATACAATATAAAATAAAAATGTATATTATAAATATGTGTGTGTGTGTGTGTGTGTGTGTGTGTGTGTGTGTGTGTGTGGGTGTAGTAAGCTTAGAGAGTCACACAGAATAGGTAACAATAAAACATCTACTTAGAATTTACTATAAGGGTTTCATAGATAATAATAATAATAATAGTTGGTATGGTTGTGATACTATTTTAAATCATTAAGAAAAGTATTTACTCTAAGGGGGGCAATTCACATACCTAGTGTTAATAAATACAATAGTTTAAGTTTTCTTACATAAAAGCCATCGCATACGGATTGATGTCCCGCAGCAAACCGTCCAATAATTCTATGACGATTTCGGACAGTTCATGATTGCTCTGTCGTGCAATATCGAGACGCCGGTGGTTGGCCTCTCCGGACTCCAAAAAATACAACTGACAGTTGTTGGCACTTCCCGGGGCAACGGCCACCTCATT